CCATTCACAGCTCAAATACTAAACAACCTGCTTCCATTGAAGATATAAAGGGGGTCCATATTATAAGGTAAGGTTATAAAACCACCTTTTAAGATCATTTTAGTGAAAGTTTCATGTTCCTATCTCATAGAATTTAAGAACAATGATGAATAAATAATTTTCGAGCAAAATTTAAATGGCCGGCTGAATATATTACCGCAGGAGCCGCGGCCGCGGAATTTAAATGACCACGTCAAAGGGTTAAAAGTAACAGAAACACTTTGAGATTAAAATTTCCTCTGTATTTTCTGATGGCTTAGGATTTAATTTATCTTTTTTAATTATTATTGCAGTGTCTTGTTATAAATGGACACTTGTGCTCTTAAATTCACCGCACTATCAAATACCTTATTCTAAATATACAGGAAGTGGGGTGAATTTTTTTCATTTGACCTAATCCTTCTAGCCACACTATGGCCCTGGGGTCAACTGAGCCTCTAACAGAAATGAGTACCAGGAATCTTTCTGGGGAGTGAAGGGCAGCCGGCACGCAAGGTTGACAACCTTACTGCCTAGATGTGGGAGCTTCAACATCTCACAACCCTACAGGGGTAGCTTTAACTGTGTTTTAAGGACAATTTATTGACATTTTTTTCTGCTTTAGTTGTTACTGTAGTGTCTCAAACACACACTGCTGTGATGTTAGCATAACTGTACTATCAAATATCTGCAGAAATGAACTTTTTCAACTCTTTCATTTTATAGTTGACATGTAATTCCAGATGTCTATTTATTCTAAGCTGACTATAACAAAACACTGTTACTTGGTTTTACGGATGTGAACAGTGTGGAGACTCTGCTGGATCTAGGAAAAGAACAAAACAAACCACAGAAAACCCAAGTAACAAGGCCAGCAGCTTTAATAAACGATTTTCTTTCTGATTGAGTTCATGAGGAAGTACCTCAAAGAAGGTAACATATACAAATGTACCACATGCTAGTCCCTGGAGAATACCATTTGTAATAGATGAATTTAAACTGTGTCCAAATTGCTGTAGCGCTATTGCAGAACATATTCCCAGTGGTGAAGTGATGCTGAACAGCAAATTGGACTTGATAATAGATGCCAAAGAAAGCTCTGTCTGCACGAGACTAAGTCCCAAGCTAAATGCTATAACTGTCTTGTGAATCACAACAGCTACAAAGATCTGGATAAGATCAGATACATCTGTTTGTAATCCAACAGCCAAACCTTCTAATAAGGAATGCAGGGAGAGTGAAAATAAAAGAACAAGTGCGCGCAGTACTGGGTGTGGCTCTGGTTCATGATAGACTGGAACATTCACTGTTCTGCTGGAATCAGCTTCAACTTGATGCTCTGCTTCTGGGACTTGTGATTGGTTTGCTGGGTTTGACCTTACAGTTCCACCTTGTAGCATGTTATATTCAGTGCGTCTTTCTTTACATTCCTGAACTATTTGTTCAAGAACCAAGACCAGTAAAAATCCGAATGCAACTGTGAATTCTGCCACCGGGAAAGAAGACCTCATGTATAAGTTAACATTTGCCTGCAAAAAAAAAAGTTTAATGATTCATGTGTTTAACCAAAAGTTATAACTGTTTGGAGCAGAGTCCTTGAGATGGTAATAATCACAGATAGTTAAGAAATTTGTTGTCACAAGTCATCTATAATTTACTATCCAGAATAAGTTCATTAACTCTTAAATGCCTACAAATCACAATACATTCTTCTTTAAAGGATCATACTCCTTTTTAAGAAATGCAGATAGTAAAATCACGCTAAGAAGAAAGTAGATGTGATTAGAGAAAAGAATATGGAGTTTTTTTATTTTCATGACATACATCAGCCACGTGTGTTTCAAATATTATTATTCTAATATTTGTTCTCTGACATTAAGGGAGGAACATAGACTAATGGGTGTTCGAGAACGGTGCAGAGGAGAATATTTTGACCGAAGAGGGATGAAGTGACAGAAGGTTGGAGAAAACTGCATAATGAGGAGCTTCATAACTTGTACTCTTCTCCAAGTATAATCAGAATGACAAAATCAAGGATGATGATATGGGCAGGGCATGTAGGACAAATGTGGGAGACAAATGCATATAGGAGATTGGTGGGAAAGCCAGAAGGAAAGAGACCACTGGGAAGACCAGGGCGTAGGTGGGTGGACAATATTAAAATAGATCTTAGAGAGACAGGATGAGATGGATTGGATTGATCTGGCTCAGGATAGGGACCAGTGGTGGGCTCTTGCGAACACTGTAATGAACCTTTGGATTCCATAAAATACTAGGAAATTCTTTAGTAGCTGCAGAATTGGTGGCTCCATGAGTAAGTAAGTAGCTGCAGAATTGGTGGCTCCATGAGTAAGTAAGAAAGACTAATTATTATATGTTCTGTAACCATCTAATATACTTGTACATTAACTGCCCAATTTACAGCTGGGTTCTAGTTGTCAGCACAGAGCAAATTTATGCTTATGGGCTGGCCCACTGGAGAAGTTCCAAACTCTTCAAATGCATGCTTCATAAAAAATATTGTAATTTACCTTACTCAACATCTCGGTGACATCTGGGAACAGATGTAACAGTCCTGTACCCATAAATACTCCAGCAGCAAAACAACTGAGCAAGCTTATGATACGGCCAAATCTAGAAAGTAAATTAAACACGTGCTGAACACTTGGAAAATAAAGGTATCTAACAGCAAAATAAATTATAATTATGTGGCATTAATTTTTAATTCATGTCACAATTTTAACAGTTCCACCAACTGATAAATGATTTAATATTTATTTTCACTGTTTTTGAGGAAAATAAGAGCAAAGGAGAATACTTCTGTGGGATTATGTAGTGTAGGTATAAGATGTTAGAATTTCATGCCAGTGATCATGTGGTAGACTTGACCACATCATGGCAGATTTTTCTTCGCATTATATCCAACCCTCAATTTAGAAAAAAGTTAAGATTTTATTTCTTGTCCTGAGTAGTTCATATTAAATCTTTCTTGGGTCCAACATAATAACAATAAACTGAATACTAAGTCAGTATGGATTTAAATCAGAAATTTCCATTAGTACATAAAGTTAAGACTGCTAATGAATATAAACTTAGGACTTGGTGAAAAATAGAATGTTGACACGTAAAACAAAGTTGTGGAGAACTGAAATTGAACTTGTAGAGGAGTAATGAACACTGTGAAGAGTATTCTTTCCTGGGTTGTAACAGTATGTAGCCTGGTAGAAGTCCACTAACATTATTTCAGAGGAACATACTGTCTCTACATTCATGGTCAAAGAGTAAGCCAAGCACTGGGCACACCTGTCACCTGCATCATGATAGTTCTCATTTGCCTTACTCCTTTACCTACTACTCATTCATTTCTTGCTTGGCTTACTTTTTAACCCTGAAAATGGAGGCGGTATGTTCCTTCAAAATGTCAGTGGGCTTCCACCACATTACATGATATTTCATACCAGAATATACTATTTTTCAGCCACTGGTGTGAGGGACTGAAATCTAGCATCATATACATTAGATAGCAGAGAAAATAAAATTACCAACCTCGCCCGTTTTAAATGATCAGCTGTGTTACGAAGACTTGAAATGAGCTTCAGCGGAAGCATGCTGAATATAAATGTTGTGACAAATAATGTAACAAGCACTATCCATTTTGTTGTTACTACATCCATTGTCCTCACCCTAAAATGAAGATGTATTTTATTTTGTAAGAAATCACGTAAAACCTCCTGGCACTTTGCACTTAACAACCTTCTTAATTTCAGATTACTGCCTACTCACTATACAAGGGTACCATGAACCGCTATGCAATGGTAATTTCTGAAAATATGAATAACAAAACTATAAAACAGAACATAATTAAACTTCGTACTTTCTCGAGCCTCACCTTTAGTTACAAATAAAATTGCATTAATTTCTTATGTTCTTATAACTCTCAATTAGCTTCATGTGACATAATAAAAAAGATTAATGTAACCTCTATGGTTATTGTGGAACATTATTTTTCGCTCTCCACGAATCGTCAGCTTCCTAAGGTTCATAAGCAAACTGACATGTCTTCATCAGCCTTGATATACTGTACTTTGAACTCATGAATTGTTTCATCTCTCTCACCATTGTCTTACAAAACCGACAAGAACGGCATGAACATGACCGAACATGACTGCCCAACCGATGCAATTTACCACGCACACTAATTGCACTAGGTTACCTAACCTGCATCCCAGCCTTACTCGGTCATACAACAAACAACGATATATATATATCTGTTCCTCTGCGGACTAAATAATTTAACACAGAAAACAATTAGTTATGTTACAATTATCAGTGCAAATATTTATTTCCCTGCGGCATCAGAACTACCGATATGATGGTGAGAGAATAGCCATGGGTTAAAAATTTTTGCTCTAGTCCGTCAATGACTTGCATCTGCGTCAGTTTTGAGGGTTTTGGGGCTCTTTCTTAGGCTTCTTAGGTGACTCATGGTAAACATATGTACAACGTTATCGTTACTTAGATTTTTTAATATATAGTTCGGAGTTGCTTCTTTGTTTTGTCGCACTAGTCAGTGGAAAAATATAGCAGCTGTAATAAAGTAAATTAGAAATAGAGTGACCATTTAGTAACCATGACTGTGTGGAAATAATCTTTGGTACAGAGAACTGAAACAAAGTGATACGATTGGCCAATGTGGTACTTGAGCGCACTTGAGTTTTCGTTTGAGATGATTCGGAAGAGAAAGAGTTTGTGTATTGTATTTTCTTTTGAAAGCCATTTTTCTCCTTATTAAATAGTCCGTATGTGTTCTTATCCTAACCATAAGAATCATTATATTCAAATGTCAGTATATGATTATAGGCGAATGGAAACATTCGTTCTGTGTATAATGATTTTATTTGATAACCGGTGTGCTTGTCGGCTCCCTGAAATGGCCCATGTGCTGAACGATGACAAGCGTTTTATTACTATGTAATGTAATAAAAATTTTGAAGTATACGGTGGTTCTAAATTACAGGTTTATGGTCAGAGTTACTGAGAAAAACGTTTAACGCGTGGTTTTTCTCAAAAGCGGGAGTTTACACGTAGTTAACAGAGTAGAAAAACAACCTTTATATCCACAGAAAGAGTTTAATGATTAAGACGCAGTGTTTTACAAATTTCTAAACTTTACTTTCCTTAAGAACTATATGTGTGAAATTTTAAAAGAATTTGCCAAATTTTGCCATATGGAAAGGGGAATGCCAACATCAGGTTATGAAGATGAAGTGGAAAAACTGTATGACACTTGAAGAAATTCTTCAGGAAGATGGAAAAGGTGATACAAACAGCATCATGTTAGGAGACTGGAATAGCATTGTTGGAGATGAATCATATCAGTATATTGTTGGATCACATGGACTAGGCAGATGGAATGATGGAATCACAGGGACCAAATGCTTATTGACTTTTGTGAAAGAAATGGACTGATTGTTACCAACACTTCGTTCAAGAAGCCAAAGAGAAGACTTTACACATGGAAGGTACCTGGGGATTTGAGGCGGCATCAGCTTGACTACATCCTTGTGAAACATCGATTCAGAAACAGCGTGAAGGATGTGAAGACGCTGCCTGGGGCAGATATTGACTTTGACCACAACTTACTGGTTGCCAAGTTTTGAACCAGGTTGAAGAAAATTATAAGATCCCAAAAGCGCAGACCTAGATGGGATTTGGAGAAGTTATATGCTCAAAGACAGAGCGTGGAGGAAACCCTAGAAGAGAAACTCGGTGCAATTGAAAGTGAAAGCGGAAATGCTGAAGTGCAGTGGAACAATATAAAACAATGCATGTTAGATACTATTAGTGAATTGGTTGATAAAGTTGAGAAGATAGCAAGAAAACCATGGGTTACACAGGAGATGACGAGTAAAATGGAGGAGCGAAGGAAATGGAAAAATGTAAACAATGAAGAAGGCAGGAGGAAATACAGGAGACTGAGGAATTAATTGAAAAGAGCCACAGACAGGGCCAAAAAGGAATATCTTGAGAATATATGTAATGAGATAATAGAATTTCAAAGGACAGGACATTATGATTTGATGTACATGAAGACAAAAGAACTAGGATGGAAAGAGATCCATGGGATTCAAAATATTGGCATCGAAGACTCCCAGGGGAATAGAATAGTAGATCAGAAGCAAGTGCTGAAAATTTGGAAAAATTATATTACAGAACTATATGATCGACCTAATCGGCCAGAAACCTTGGAAGTGGAACCGAAAGAAGAAGTAGATACAGACAAGAAAGGACCATATATTTTACAATGTGAGGTGGAAAAAGCTATCATGGAAATGAGGAAGGGAAAGGCTACAGGAGATAATGATGTACCTGGAGATGTGCTTAAGTTACTGGTAGAAGGTGGTTTGAGAACACTGACAAAACTAATAAACACCATATATGAAACTGGGGAGTGGCCCAAGGACTCTATAGAAGTGACAGTGATTGCCTTTAAGAAACAGACAAAAGTTACAAAATGCAGCGACCATCGCACAATAAGCCTTATTGCACATACAGCAAAGATAATAGCAAAGATACTTAAAAGAAGAATCAAAAGGAAAATAGAGAATATACTTGGAGAGGATCAGTTTGGATTTAGAAGAGGAAAAGGAACCAGGGATGCAATTGGGATGATGAGAATTATAGCAGAATGAACTTTGGAGATAGATGAAGAACTGTGTGTTTGCTTTATAGACTGGCAGAAGGCATTTGACTGTGTAAATTGGACCAAATTAATGCAGATCCTAAAGGAAACAGGTATCGATTGGCATGAAGAAGATTGATTAGTAAATTGTACATGGATCAGAAAGTTAGAGTGCGACTGGACAGAAGGGAGACAAGAAGCGTGAAGATTGGAAGAGGAGTTCGACAAGGATGCTGTTTATCACCAATTTTGTTCAACTTGTAGCGAATGCCTTACCAAAGAAGCTCTGGATGGGCTTGGAGACTTCAAATTAGGAGGGCAAATTATTCAAACTGTGAAATATGCAGATGACCTTGTGTTGATGGCTAAGGAAGAAACTGTGCTACAGGATATGATTGATAGACTAATTGAAATTGGAAGGTGCTATTTCATGGAAATGAATGTGAAAAAAATAAAAGTATTGAAAATTTCGAGACAACCAACCCCAGTCACAAAAAAGATAGACCAAAAACAACTGGACAATGTGAAATATTTGGGTAGCTTGTTAACAGATGATGGAAGGTGTACTTGTGAAATGAAATCTAGGATTGTCATGGCGAAAGCTGCATTTAGCAAGAAGAAGAATCTTTTTACCAGCAAATTGGACTTAAATTTGAGAAAGAAACTAGTGAAATGCTACATTTGGAGCATTGCTTTGTATGGGGCTGAAACTTGGTTATTTAGCCATTGTTAAGGTACCTTTTGAAATGAGTATTTAAGATGAAAGATTTCTGCAAGAAGCAAAAAAATACATGAGTTTGAAGATGTCAGACCTGGACGACTGCCAACATCGAGTGAGTAAAAATCATCCAATAAGAATTAAGTTCGTTAATGTGGTAACCGGTATAATGGAAGTTTTTATAAGATTAAAACAATATGAATTCTTTGCAGGTTGTCGTGAATATCCATAAAAGATGTTTGGATCTGACAGAGGAGGAATTGGCCAGATTGAGCGTGAATCTACTGAACTGTCAGTCTGCAGTAGAGGAGAGACAACATTTTCCCTGTACCACCAAAATGGTAAGTTGTTCTGAGGTTAAGTTGAAAGGATAATGGCTGTTCATTGGGTGGAGGGTGAGTAGAATCCAGCAGACTACCTGTATTGGTGGTTTGATATTTACTGACATAAGCTTACCACATACATTTTTGTTTTCAGTGTTAATGTTAGGTTACGTTAGGCACTCTACACATTCATGTCCATCTTTAGTGCAACTCTGTTCACAATCTCACCATATTTAAAAATAACATTAAAATTGCAGTCAGCTTTCGCAAGTTTCGATTTTATGTGGCCATTCATTCATTTGTTTTATTTTGCATTCATAATTGCTACACCAGTAACACTTGAACAAGTCACATCATTAAATACATCATTCTTGATATCCTTTTGCCCAGATGCCTAAAGGATTAGAATTTGCCAACAAAAAATAATCATCTTCTACAGTGCATACAATCAAGCGCGCGCCGCGGCTGCAATTTGCCGTGAGTCATACCACCGCAGAACGGATGCAACTCCTCCCAATAGCGTGAGTGTAGTGGTGTCGCTGAGTCTCCGTCCATCAGTTGCTCTACATGCACACATTTATAAGAATACAGTAAAAAGATAACTTACCGTGGTTTATAACAGGTGCTGAAAGTGACCTCCTTCTGCTTGCAAACATGCCGCGCATCTCACAAATAAATTACGCGACACTCTCTGCAGTTCGTCGATGGTAATTGAATGAATTACGCGTGTAATTTCATTTTGAAGACTATCAATGCTGCGGGGATTATTTTTGTAGACTTTTTGCTTCAGGTTGCCCCAAAGATAATAATCAGAAATACTGAGATCTGGGGATCTGGGAGGCCACAGTCCTCTACTGACAATTCTGTCTTCAAACACTTCCTGTATTGCGACCATGGATGCATTAGCCGTATGTGCTGTAGCGTTGTCCTGCTGAAAATACCCGTATTGTCTTTCTTCGGCATTCAACTGATCGAAGAAGGGATTCAGTATGTCATTAATGTACCGATCAGAGTTCACGGTATCGTGGAAAAATATGGGGCCAATGATTCGCCGCGGGCTTACAGCACACCACACACCCACCTTTTCACTATGTAATGGCACTTGCTGTATAGCGTGAGGATTTTCATTGCTCCATATTCTTACGTTTTGTGCATTGACGTGGCCACCAACGTGGAACCACGCTTCATCAGTCATGAATAGAAGCTGAGGATCCACTATTCCATCGTGTACATTTTGCAGCAGCCAGTTGCAAAAACGAATTCTTGCTGCATGATCTGGTTCTTTCAGCTCATGCACAACTGTTACTTTATACGGGCGAAATTTGATTAACTTTGTGGCTGTGCGAGCAGATCCTAGCGAAACACCAGTTTCCTGTGCTAAGCGTCTTAACGATTTTCGAGGACTGATCTGTAATCTTGCCTGAATATCCTTAACCTTTTCTTCAGTCAGCACAGTTCTCTTCGATTGCTTCTTCTTGTCACTCACTGAACCTGTGGCCCGCCACTTTTTCAGAAGCCTGTTTACACACGACTTTGTGGGAACTGGCGAGTCAGGATATTTCTGACGAAACCTACGTGCGAATTTTCTGTAAATGTTTTTCCTTGCAATAGTTTCGACAATAAACACACGCTGTTTAATAGTGAACTTCATTTCCACCGTCTGTCGACAGCTGTAAACATTCCACTCCACTTCCACAGCAAGACAAAGACTGACTGTTTAATGCAACCTCGGGTTCCGATTATGCAACCATCGGCGTAGGAGCACTGCAGTCGCGGGGAGGAGTTGCATCCGTTCTGCGGTGGTATGACTCACGGCAAATTGCAGCCGCGGCGCACACTTGATTGTACGCACTGTAGTATTATATTCTATAAATCTGAATTTTTCATAGAGAGTAAATTATTTTTCTGGAAATAGCACAACACCTCAAAAATATACAAGGATGTAACAGTTAAAATCTTTAATTCTTTAAAAATAAGTCTGCATGTTGTTTTCCTATTTACACCTTTCATTAAACGAAGTATCCTTTTTTGTATTTTCAGTACTTTGCTATTTTCACTTCCTCCACCCCAAAAAATCAAACTATAGCTTACTTAGGATTGAAATTGGCAAAGTAAATATTCCTGAGTATATAGAAACTCACTTCATCTTTCAAGGATTTAATAATGTAACATGCCTTATTCAGTTTAGACACAAGGACTGAACATGTGAGCTGAACTTTGGATTATTTGTTATATTGATACCTGAAAACCTGAACTGTGATGTATAAATTCACAGGCAACTGCTAACATTTCATAAGCACCGCACAGCACTGGTTCTAAAGTCAAAATATTTCAGTGCTATTACATTGTATCGTTCACACCAAAGTATATTTTTTTTAAGAACCTATCTTTTACCCTTTCCTGCCCTATTTTCCTCTTGTGGCATCCATGTTTTTTGTGTTGATTTATTTAGCCCTATGGACATCAGTGTAGTGCTGTAATCATCATTATTTTTATGTGACTATTAGTATGTATGTTCCCATGCCAACGTCCATTAGGGCTAAAGACATCACAAAAAACATGTATGCCGCAAGAAGAAAATAACATATATAATGAAGGTCTTATTTATGTGTGACAGATGAGGCGAGTTTGGAATTCAGCAGCCAGGTGAACGAGCGCCATGAGAATCACAAGCAACTGCGGGAAGATCTGCAGACTGTCATGGAGCAGGTGGCTCTCCTCTGGCAGAGAGTTGGTAAGGCTGCTTCATGTGTTCGCAGGACCTTATTTCTAATCCATGACCTGTGCTGGATGAATCTAATTAACTTCAGTAACAACCAGACCGCTCCATCTGTCTCTCTTCCCAAACCTTCGTTGCCTTCTCAGTTTCCTCCCATATTCTTCCTTCCTTTTTGTCATTTCTTTCCTAATCTCTTGTTCTTGTTCAAAACCTTTGGGATTCTGGATTTGGGCATTTTTAAATTGTGCCTTTACCATCTGACTGTGTTAACTATTAGTCTATTTTACAATTTACTTTTCTTTAAATTCTGTATCATTCTGCCATTTATTATTCTTTCTCTTCTGGTTTCTCCTTCTGTACTTGGCAAAGAATTACATCTCAGGTACGTTAGTCTGTCAATATCTGCCTTGGTTCGTGTCCATAATTCTGCACCATACGCTGACATGAGCACAGTAACTTTTAAATGAACACATTTTTGCCCTCTCTTTCATGGCCTGTTTCCAAAGTAGATCCTGACTAATTGGTAAGCTCCTATTACTGTTGCAATACAGTGGAACCCCCATCAAATATCCATCACTTTTTGGTTTTTCTCTCATTTAATATTTAGTTTCAGTGATCACACATCAGTGAATTGGTGTTAAATGACCTTCATTTAAAGCTTCCCTCGCTTTAGTTCAAGTCCACAAGTTATTCATTGCACCTCAGAACTAACATGCATTTCATATTCTTGCTGATAGATCACAGCATGCAGAAGATCCTTGCACGCCATGAGTCGGCAACAGCACAGTACAACTTGGCACTCTACAAGCTGTCATAGATCAACGCCACAGTCAACTTCCTCCTGGATCTGCTGGACAAGACCAGACATGTAAGTGTTTGTGGGCACATGCAGTTTGTCATTGATCAGAACCACAGGGAATTGCCAAATTTAAGTTCAGTACATTCCCTTGAAGTACTGAGCAATGTTTGATGAAATTGACTGCTTGGAATTACAATATAGATACACACCTGCAAGGGTGCCAGCAGGGGGTGAGGGGAAGGGCAAAAGGAATTGAAAAAGAAAAAGGAAAATAAACTTGTCTTCCCCATTTAAATATTAAAAATACCACCCGAAAATCATGATCACTTTAATATGGCCAACTTCCTTCATTGGATACAGAATGTGATTTGGTAAGAGGTTGACAAAGATGCGAAGCAACTTGCACAGCAGCACACAAAAGTGTTTTGATGTCAGCTTTCAGGTATCAAGGTACTCTGTCCATGGCAGAAAACTGATACATGCATCCCAGCCATCTGACAGTTAACCGTTTCTCTTGAAACATCCTCCAACACATTGCAGTTTTATCATGATGTACATATTGCCACTTGTGTCATTGTGTATCAGGTCCTTTCCCTCATTTTGTTGTGAATTTATGCAGTTAGTGATTCATTTCTGAACTGTTTTTTTAGGAATTTGATGAGCGCCTGGGCTGACTCAATAATCTGACGCCGGATACTGGCAACCAGCTGTATCGCCTTTACATCTGTGTACTGTACTTTCTGTACCTGATTGTGGGAATGATTACTGCAGCTTTTATCAGAGCTCCGATGACCACACGTGCTTTCCTCCTCCTCCTTGTGCCTCTGAACCTTGGTGTCACATACACTCATGGGGACGCAGCTGCCCTTAACTTCCCGTCCATGACCATACTCATCTTAGCGTCAACAGCAGGTAAGTGTTACTGACATCACCTCACTGTTTGGTTACGTTGGGTTATATTTACAAGAGAAACAAGCGCAGTGATGCCTGCTTGTGGAGTTCACAGTCAAAAAACAAACACAGACTCACCACTTCCATACTGAACCTTAAGTCCAGACACCAACACAGATTCATTTTCTGCAGTCAGTGGGTGTATGATCAGCTTGCTGAGGTATGAACCCAAGACTTTCTGAACCGCCTAAATTAAACATTATGTGAAACTTTATTGTGCCCTAGAACAGTCAATTTGCCACTGTTTATAATGGCGCGTGCTTTTTTGTAGTCTGCTATGTGATCCAGAGATAGCTACATTATTGGACATCCAGACAGCCCAGACCCCTGTCCAGTCTTCATGGCAGCCAACCACAGCCAATGACCAGTGGGTTCATTACTAACCCATTACCACCTACGAAGCCTGTTTCTCTTAGGCTGTCTCACAGGAGCAGCATAAACATGCTATCGCTCTTCACTGGAGACCCTGGCAGAAGACTGAAATGTAAGTTGAGTTTGAGAGGAACATGATCAGTGAATGCAATCAATCACAGAACACTTCAATTCATATATCTTTGTCTCTTTGCAGCTCTCGTGAGCAGATCTCATAGTCCCATGCAGTCAGTGTCGGCTGCTGCCTCATCCAGAGGGGACTTTCTGAGGCCTGATGAGAGGGTCCGCATTCTGACCTCCATGCCTGACAGAAACCTAGGTGAAGGCTCAAGTGGCAGTGGCGAGGTTGCCTTTGGGCGGGACCATTTTGCAGAGGTGAGTTGAGACTTCTGTTTATGTCTTGTTCCAGTTACATGAGGGACAGAATGTCATTAGTCTCCCAGCAGAGAATTGTTTTGCTCTCATACATCCAGAGGAACCCCCATTTAATGATCTTCGATTTAACATTTTCCCCTAGTTAACACTGAATTTTGATGATCACAAGTCAATCTCAGGGCTAGATTTCCTTTGTTCAGTATTTTCTTCATTTTATTCCTCAGAGTCACTTGTGGCTCTATAGCTTTGCATCATCTTATGTGGGATCAACAGAAATATAGAAATATCCAGTCACGTGCACCGGATATTCTCTAGCCACGCTCCCGTAGGTCATACATTTTCCGTGAAATGTTTCCATCCATTCAGAGAGTTGTGCTAACTATGTTATATTTTTTTTGTTAGCGCTCTGCAAACTCCAACAGTTGCAGCAGTGACAACCACCTTGTTCAAGCTGGCACATCACGAACACTGAGGCAGCGCTATTCCACACCAGTCTACTTCCCACCCACATGCAAACCCACCTCTTCTTTTAGGTGAGTTACTGTATTGTCACCTTGTTTATTACTTAAGTATTTTTCAGTTTTTGTTTTAACTTAAATTCTTTAAATAATTTTATGTACTTTTGGTAACATTTTTTGTTTCAAAGGATTGTGTGTTTAGGGAATTCTGAATGCTAAAAATGCTCTTTCTTGCTGACAGGCTTGTTTGCCTTTAGAAGGACCATTTTGAAAAATCAACAGACGGTTAATACTGGGGCCATCACTGTTGTTCCCATATTTGGTACAGTTATTCTGATCCAAGTACATGTGACTGTTCTTTATTCATAGTGACTGCATTCCTGAAATTTGCTGTGTATATGGAAGGTGCACTGAATGAACACTGGCATGGTGCAGCAGTATGAAACGCTATGATGGATTTATTGAATCAGGACGGTGGGGCAAGCGAGGAGAACTGCTAATGCAAAACTTTTGGCATGTGTAACAGCAGATGTGTGAAAACAGCAACAAAAGCATTATAATGAATGTCACCCATACTGAACTAAAAAATTTGAATTTTTAAATCTGTTTAGTGGCCGTCTGAACTCTCTTGTTTGTCTCTTGCATTTCTCAGTTCCACGTGATCGGCTTTCAAATCAGACGACAAGATTGGTTCTTTTGCTCGGAGATCTCCCATTTCCCTGGGTTCCACATTTTCATAGTGCATCGCCATGAGCACTTTCTCTCTCTTTACTGTACACATTTTCAGTTCCACGTGATCGACTTTCAAATCAGACGGCAAGATTGGTTCTTTTGCTCGGAGATCTCCCATTTCCCTGGGTTCCACATTTTCATAGTGCATCGCCATGAGCGCTTTCTCTCCCTTTACTGTACACATTTAAGTCACCGTATTTTTGGTATTCTTCTGCCCTTAACAGTCTGCTTTGTTTTGTTGTCCACAGTGGAACACCTCACTGCAGTCTACCAAGGCCTGTATGCCGTGCTGTCTGTCGGAATGGCCAACAGTGTCACAGCAGTGCATCTGTGTTGGAGACACGCCTCCTCATCATCGTTTTGCCGATACTGAAAGTTATTAAAGGTGCCTTCATACTGCAGATGGTCATACTGTTTAACCACACGTGTGGCCCACCCAGCTACTGTGGCAAGTACCTGTTTCAACATCTGAAATGCGGCAGTAGAACTGACACACATACTGGACATTTTCTGTCATCCTTTTCTGAGTAAAGAAACACATGTTGGTAGCTAGGAAATCTGCTCTGAAGGGTCCATTATATGCAGCTAATCTTCGCCCTGGTTTGAGGGATGATGGAAAATGTCCCGTATATCTGTCAGTCTAACCACACCTTCATCGCATGTAATAGTTATGGTAAACCCTCGCTAATCAGGGTTAACTGGGAGGGATAGGTCATCTGGATTAGTAAAGCAAAAGATCGCTATAAAAGAAAAAAGGAAGACACAAAAATGCAGTCCTGCTGCCTACATACGGATGTTCAGAGTACCTTGTTGCAGGTGTGTGTAGAGACAGATAGTGTTTTGGGAGAGTAAAATTAGGTGACAAAGATTGATACTGTCATGGATAGAAATTTATGCTCTTGACTCACCATAATCTTTGCCTTAAGATTGTGTTTATTTTTGCATTTCAGAAGAGGGTAACGTGTGGTTAACAGATAACAGAATTGAGATGTTGCATAAAGATGAATTTCATAGTTTGTACCCTTCAGCTACGTTTGGGGTAGGACTGCTACAAATGGATCATAGATATGCACATAGAATTCCTATGAAAGTTTATTGCAGAAATATATGTGTGGGTCAGTAATATGGAAGAAATCTGGGGAAAACTTGCATTGTCCTTCACTTTTTCTCTCCACAGAGACAGACTGACTAGTGGAAATTACCAGTTACCCATCACACGAACTAGACAGTGTCAATCCTGTAATTTTAGTTTCCAAAGAGATGTTTAAACTTTTTAACCATGTTTATTTATGCTTTCTTTTCACTGTGTCCTATTTTTTATTTTCAACTGTATAGTTTTGTAGTGTTTTTCTAAGCATTTGTACTAGTAATCACTTTAGTTATTTAAAGATGTAGTAGGGAGCACCAATATTACAGTACGGTACAGTACTGGTCTCCATTATAGTTTGAGTTGCGTACACTGTGCGATGGCTCTGTTGGAATGCTTGTATATTGCTAAATAAATCTGTAAACTAGAGACTGGCTTGTCTTTATTATTTTATTTCTGATTTACTTAATGATGCTATCAGTAGCCTTGATTGTATAGCATTGAAAGGTAGGACAGGCGAACAGTTAACTGAAAAGGATGTGGAAGGGTGCAGTTGTGCTCTTACTTTGAGGTACTGCCACGGGAAGTATCAGATGCAGACAGAGTTCTGTGTCAGCCAATGAAGTTTCACAGAATCCATATGCCTGCTATTTCCACTTACTTCATTAGCACTAATGCCAGTCCCTACACAGTGCACCCAGAGAGTTCACTTCAGGAGCGCCATTTTTGTGGTTAAGTAGCGAAGGATCTTTGAGACAGTCTCTACTGTATTTGTGATATTGCTAAGGTGACTAATTCGTAGAGGAAAGTAGAGGCAGCAGGTTCCTATGAAATGTTCTTAACCTACCAGCATACATTATCTACTCGTAGAACCCGGAAGATCACATTCTGAATGTTTGCTCCTCTGATAACCTCAGGTTTCACTCATAAAAATGTTCACACAAACATTACACAATTTTTCTAAGAAATAAATACTTATGATACATATACTTTTGCAGCAATGAACCATTTGCACATTGCTGTCTTGCTGGGTGTGACACCATGTTGTAATGTGGCTGGTGGGTACCAGTCTCTTGAATCCTCATGGTGGAAACGGCTTCACCTTCCATAACGGGAATTTCTTTTCCAGCCACATACAGTAAGTACAAACTGAGGCGGGCTTCCCATTGATGTTTACATGTTTATGTGGGTCATCTAACAATGACGCCTCTCTGTCTGTCTACCTGGACTGAAAATGCTTTCATAAGTCATGGAATTTCATAGCCTACAACATACGCATTCTGACATGACTACAGTCCGCATGTTAATAACGTTCAGCATAAGGAGATCTGCTGTGAGGTCTAATTACACTACACTGCTCTGACGCTCACACGGTACGGTCTTGTGCCCATGACAGCAGCCCACTGTTGCCTTATCCTTGCATACTCTCTGAGGTTGGAACTGTTTTTCATTCTTAACACTCTGACTTCCTTCACGCTTTACAGAAAAAAATCAGATGCCTGACATTTTAACCAGAAGCATGCCTATGGGGACTTGTTGAAGAGAAATTGTAAGCTTGGGCTTTGGGTCTTGTTTCAGTAACGGACTGTACTGTACGAGGTTGGCAGCCCTGAAGTGATGGGCAACACGGTGGTGAATGATAAAGTTAATATGTTAATGTTAATATGTACATACTGACAGCCTTCATGACCTGTCATTTCCAGTGTGATCTTGGTTTGCGTCTTGGGAATTTTTATTTAGTTTGGTATTCAGCTCCTTGATTGGGATTTGCTCTTGTGTTTGTTATTAAAATATGCGCATATCTTTTTATTCTGTATGTGTTCTGATGTGTGCCAGTTATTTGAATGCTGTCACTGTCGTCAGTATGGATATCTGCCTCCGATGTGTCCAACATTGTCACAGTATTTGGGTGGTTGATTTGAAAGACATCCATTGCCTCCAGAGCCCCAATAACCTTACTTTCAGGGTTCCTTTTTGTGTCTTCTTACCTTCCATGGTGCTACTGTGTTTCACCTTGCCTGATTGTACCCCCTCCCAGAGCATGGTTGCTGGAGTCAGACTTTGGAGCAGGCAAGAAATTCAGAAGGAAAGAGAAAAGACTGGAGACTTTCTGCCTGTGGAACTGATACTAGAAGCAGAACTTGTGTTGCAAGTTTTCTTCCTGGTTTGTTGTGACCGATCCATCCTGTTTTGTGTTCCAGCACAGCAGCAAAACAAGCAACAAGAAGAGGGCATGGCGGTCACTGAAGCAGATTGTTGCTCAGGAGAGGGCGTTGCAGTGGGGAGAAGATTTTGTGCACTGTAAGAGAACAAATTCATTGAGGAGCATTGTGAGAAGTGTTCACAATACAGGAGATGTGAGGTTGTCACAGCAGTGACTACAAACATTACTGTCTTCTGGGGAGTAACGCTATGTCATCTGATAGCTCATTATCAACATTTCGGAGGAACATGCTTGCTCCATGTTCAGGATAGAAGAGTGAGCTGAACATGGAAATTTGGTATGGATACAGAGAAGGGGGGGGGCGAGTGGGACACAGGTACTGATCAAACCAGTAGGTCTGAAGAGAACAGTGTAAAGGGCACTGGCCCTTGAAGTAGTCCTCTCTCTTGCTATATCCACTGTTTCTGCCATGCTCAACTTACACTTTACACTGAAGATGGAGGCATTAGGTCACACTGAATTGTTGGTATCTGTCCACCAGTCTGCATGGCGTCGCGTCTCAGAAGGCTGTAATCTTTATATTGACTGCTTGTTGAATGCACATTTGATATTCTTCTGGGTCTGCGCCTGCAGCTGACTTCAGATGATGGTGGACATTTAATTGGAACTTTCATTTGGATTGTTTTAATTTCTCATGGCAGAGAGTGGGATTGAGCACAAGAGGAGCCACTCTGGAGGTGGAGGAGGAGATGAGATGATAATATTAAAATAGACTGTATTGGAGAATAGCAGCTGGCTGGAACTGCTTCAAGATTATGTTCAGTGCTGTCAAGTATTGAGCCTTTGGGTTCCAATATAAGTGAGCTAATTAACTTCATGGAGCTGAGCCCTTCTTGAGAAGCTGCCAGTGACGGTGTTGTCAAGCTTCAATACTTCTTATTAAAATCCGCACTTCTTTCATTCATTCTTCACAGATTACAATTTTGCTTCAGTAATACAGTTCTGTATTCATGAAAATTCTTGAAAGGATCATTTAAAAAGTATTTTTATTGAAAGTTTTACAGACTTTAAATGTAAAAAAGCCTTTTACATTATTTCATTTTTGATCTCTAGGCCTGAGATAAAATTCTCAGCGTCTTTAAAAGACACAGTTTTCATGATCAGTGTTTTAAAGGTTTCTGCAATTAAAAGAGCAAAGTTAGCATAATGTTAGTGACAAGAACTGCCTCGAATCAAGTTTCGTGCCCATTTATTTAAATTTCAAGCTGTGTGACAGAGTGCTGGAGCTCTTTACTTTTGGGACTACATCCATACGTGTTTCTGACTGATATTTTATGTTCAGGGGTTGTAACAATGAAGTTATGAACAAGCATGACAGTTATTTTTATCAGTTACATGTGATTTGATAATATAGGGAATATTATTTGTTTCAGAAAATTCAAACCATCGAATGTCGCTCCAATTTATTTGGAACCTCATCAAGAGAAGACTAATGTCAGATAGCAGAAGGTAACAGCATTTAGAAGATTCTTGGATCCCACATTGCCGTTAAGATGAGCCATCTATGACCCAGAGATCTTAATTTGAAGATAGGACATTATTTTATGGCTTTACCATCTTGCCTGTGCCAATTCATTATAAGAAACTGTAAAGAACTGTTCTTCTTAAGATGCCAAAACTTTGTGCTGATTTCTGCTCTCCGTGATGTGTGACAATAAAAGGGGAGTGTACATTGTGAATGTGTACTAGAATGAAAATATTATTGTAGATCCATAGAAAGAAGTAGGTATACCATCCGAGTTGGGGTTACTAATTTACAAGTACAGTAAATTCCTGTTTGTCTGGTATCCAGGATTTTCATTCAGCTGGCAAAAATTTCTAATAAAATTATAAGGTCGTTAAAAAAATTATGAGTGTATTTTCACTCTATACAATAGTCCTTCCAGCTTCCACTAGCAGCACTACACATTATGCAGATGCCATTTCAGCAGAGGGTAGTTGAATTGTTGATCTTGTGAATTCAAAATCTTTCACCTGTCAATCTGCAGTATTGTATGGGAATAGTCCATGCAAGAACTAAAGCAAAAATGTGATATTCTGATTATAAATTAGGTTTCTGCAAGAACTTTTCTCATGAAAACAGCAGATTCATGTAACTAGCAGACCCCATGCTCTGTACTTGCCAAGTAATTGTGGGTTACTGTAGTAATTAATAGGTTAGATTCATCTTCAGTATAAATGAAAACATATTGTCACGTGTTGGGTATGTGACGTAACAAATAACTTCACGCCATTCTGGATCTAGCGAATTCATTGCACACTCGTTCTTACATTTACACAATTTACAGTTTCACAACTACTACCATTGGCAGTATCACAATTACTTCTGTTGTAGCCACTGGCGTTCACTCGATACGATCAGTCAGTCGCAATATGACTTTGACTTTGACTTTGATTCAGGAGGATTGAGTGTTGAGTTACTAGCATCCAGTATGAGTTGAAGTCCAGCAGCTACGAGTTGAGTTGTATCGTCAATGTCAAAGTCACATCACGACTGACGGCCAGTCAGTCAGTAAGTCTTGGTGTCGAGCACCCTGCTGGGGCTCATGACCAGATATTTATTACTGTTTGACAGTTACGGTCTTGTTTTTAGTGGGCACCCTCCCTGACGAGAGGATGGGTCTGTCTTTTGTATATGCTGCTGGTCTTTGCCAGCGCAGTCTTTCTGGGGTCCGAGTCCCTTGGTCCTTGAGACCATATATTACTGTCTCAAATTTGATACTTCCCTTTTCATAGCCTCCTATGACTTGCAGGGTCATGGTGGAGATATTCGACCCCGTTGCCACACGGCCTCCCCGTGTGTGAGTTGTGGAAAGGCAGAGTTCAC